TTTGTAGAACTCGCTGTGAGTTCTCATTTGAGGTGATGCTGCCCTCAACTTTGAGTCTGGAGCCCTGTGAACTTAAAATAAAACAGCATATCATAATGTCAAGTCTATTTATTATTAAAGAATTTGTCAGTATTGCAGTTATTTTGGGGGAAATTTGAATAATTGCATTGCAAGCTGATTTAAGGTGTGCCCCTAAATTTTCTGCTTGCGCTCCTAAAATTTTCAGTCAGGGGCAACAGCGCTCCTAGTAAAAAAAGTTAGTCTGGAGCCCTGCTTAGGGATCCCAGTTTGTCAACACTTAGCCATTGGAGTGCGCTCTGAGTGATCAGACACCACAGTTTGGCCACTCTGTGTTTGGATAAAAGCTTATTTTCTTTGATAAATTTCCTGTTTTAATAGATTAAAATAGCGACTTCCGGTCCTAGTGTTCCATCTGTCGATGTGGAGGGTGTAGACAGACACACACTAATTATTCATTATATACAAAGGTTTATGAAACTCCTCAACTAACATCCCAAATGAAATGAACACCATGACTAAAAAAGTGTCATGTTACAGGGCTGATAAGGAGATTTTACATGCTAGAGACAGAGACAATGGGAAGACTAAAGAAAAATCTTTAATAAAGACTTTGCTGCATTAATCATAGACTAACTAATCTATAAATGAACATGCAAAATAGCATTGTGTAAATTATTTACTGTCTCTTGCGTATTATGTATATACTATGGTATGTATATATAATATACACTGCTTTTGGTGATACTGGGGAACCCTTTTCCCCTCCACGGGGGGGCCCTAGGGCCCAGCATGCCTTGCTTCCAACCAGATACGGCCTCATGGAGGAGAGAGAAGACTCTCACAAAGAACCAAGGACAATCTCAGGAGTTTGGAACCAGGACGAACAACGACTCCAATCACCCACTCTTCTGACTTCCTCATTTCGCCCTAGGCCTTGACCAAAATAGCAATGCGGTCATGGAGAAATATAACTTTCAAACAACTTCCACTTGCCACTGCCGGAACCCTCCACGACCTCAATTTTCAACAACTTCAAGAATTGTTCCCACTACAAATGCAAGTATTCAATAAAATGTGAAAATGAAATGCTGTTGGATCTTCTCATAGTTAGATGGATCTTCTCCATCGTTATATACCGTAATTCCATCTCTCACTCCTTTTTCTAACACATGTATATAAACTCAGCAAAAAAAGAAACGTCCTCTGACTTTCAACTGTTTTTTCTTTCAGTAAACTTAATGTGTGTAAATATTTGTATGAACACTAAAAGAGTCAACACCATAAGACATAAACTAAAAATGTTTCACAGACATGTGACTAACAGAAAGAGAATAATCTGTCTCTGAATGAAGGGAGGCTCAAAATCAAAAGTACCAGTCAGTATCTGGTGTGGCCACCAGCTGCTTGAAATACTGCAGTGCATCTCCTCCTCATGGACTGGACCAGATTTGTCAGTTCTTGCTGTGAGATGTTACCCCACTCTTCTACCAAGGCACCTGCAAGTTCCTGGACATTTCTGGGGGGAATGGCCCTAGCCCTCACCCTGCGATCCAACAGGTCCCAGACGTGCTCAATGGGATTGAGATCCGGGCTCTTCGCTGGCCATGGCAGAACACTGACATTGCTGTCATGCAGAAACTCACGCACAGAACGAGCAGTATGGCTGGTGGCATTGTCCTGCTGGAGGATCATGTCCGGATGAGCATGCATAAAGGGTACCACATGAGGGAGGAGGATATCTTCTCTGTACCGCAAGGCATTGAGATTGCCTGCAATGACAACAAGCTCAGTCTGATGGTGATCTGATATACCGCCCCAGACCATGACGGACCCCCCACCTCCAAATCGATCCCGCTCCAGAGTACAGGCCTCGGTGTAACGCTCATTCCTTCTACGATAAACACGAATCCGTCCATCACCCCTGGTGAGACAAAACCGTGACTCATCAGTGAAAAGCACTTTTTGCCATTCCTGTCTGGTCCAGCGAAGGTGCGTTTGTGCCCATAGGCAGCGTTGTTGCTGGTGATGTCTGGTAAGGACCTGCCTTACAACAGGCCTACAAGCCCTCAGTCCAGCCTCTCTCAGCCTATTGCGGACAGTCTGAGCACTGATGAAGGGATTGTGTGTTCCTGGCGTGACTCGGGCAGTTGTTGTGGCCATCCTGTACCTGTCACGCAGGTGTGATATTTGGATATACCGATCCTGTGCAGGTGTTGTTACACGTGGCCTTCCACTGCGAGGATGATCAGCTGTCCTTCCTGTCTCCCTGTAGCGCTGTCATAGGCGTCTCACAGTACGGACATGGCAATTAATTGCCCTGGCCAAATCAGCAGTCCTCATGCCTCCCTGCAGCATGCCTAATGCACGTTCACACAGATGAGCAGGGACCCTGGGCATCTTTCTTTGGGTGTTTTTCACAGTCGGTAGACAAGTCTCTTTAGTGTCCTGCGTTTTTAGAACCGTGACCTTAAGTGCCTACTCTCTGTAAGCTGTTAAGGTCTTAATGACCATTCCACAGGTGCATGCTAATTAATTGATTACGGTAAATTGAACATGCATGGAAAACATTGTTTAAACCCTTTACAATTAAGATCTGTAAAGTTATTTGGATTTTTATAACATTATTGTTGAAATACACAGTCCTGAAAAAGGGACGTTTCTTTTTTTGCTGAGTTTATGTATTTATGTATGTTTGTTTCGTTTATGTTTATGATTTAGTCAATAAAACTTTTGCACTTTATGTATTTGGTTCTGATTTACAGCTTGAAGACAAAGTTTATTTTATGATCTTCATCTTGCTACATGCTCAAAGTGCTGTACATGCTAAGAAATAATTATTCTTCTGTGGCCATGGAAGATACCCTTTTCTTTGAATAAATTAATAATCAAAAGATTTTGTTGGAAAAACTGATTAATTGATCATATTAATTTATCATGTCAAGTTTACCCAATTAACTGACCCAAAAATTTCATAATTAATCATAACAAGTTCCTTACAAGAGGTCTTCTGAGTGCGAGGCTGGTTGTGAGGTGAGGGAGGGCCTGATGGGAGAGTAAGATTCTGGCTGTGCTGAATCTTTGTTGTGATCAGGCTGAAGAGTGTCCTTCTCCACCGGTTCGCTGTGCTGTGCTCCTCTGTCCTGCCTCAGTTCACTTTTTTACATCCTTTGCCAATTTACACCAATTTACATTGCTATTAGTTGTGCCTTGTGTAACTCAGTCTGCTGTAAGAACCGTGTTTCCAGTGTCGCCATCTGAGCCCTTAACCCCTCTCTCTCCTGCTGGAGCTCCGTCATCTCAGTCTGCAGTGTAAACAGGTCTCTCCTGAGGCTGAATCTCCACAGGGCCTATCTCTGTGCTTGGCTGTGGGGCTGTTGCTGATCTGGTATGTTGTCTGAACTGTTTGCAGGGAGAAGATCATCTCCTTGAGCTGGACCATTTCTCCCTCTAGCTCTGTGGATCTCTTCCTCATGTCAGTGCAATAGCAGTGTGGATGGTCTGTCCTGTGCTCGAAGGGTCTCTGTGTTCTGTCTGATTTAGATCACTTGATGGGAGTTTTTCGGTTCCTTGCCACCATTGCGTTTATCTTGCTCAGTTGGGGATATTAAAATTAATTAACCAATCAGTAATGCCCTTGATCAGCTCTACCAAACATGGATGTTTTTCCACTAAGAAAAATTAACATTGTTATTATGTTTTGATTGAAACTGTGAAGCTGCTTTGATGCAATCTATATTGTGAAAAGCGCTATATAAATATACTTGGATTGATCCTCGACAGTGTGGAAGACTGACTCCTCAGGAGGGATAGCCTGGTCGCTTGTAGTAGTCTCTTTCTGTGCTCTGTCTTTGATGCCGAGTAATTCTTCTTCCACCACTATACCCGTTGTTTGTAGATATTTACGGTCGTGGTTGTTGTGTCTTCCTCGTTTCTTATTTTTAGCTGGAAACCACCGCAGAATGCCTTTTCTTTCAGCAGAGGGGTAGTGTGTAATGATGGCCTTGTGCCATGCATAGGGATTGTTGGTATAGCAAAATCAGGTTACTTATGCTGTCATCTTTATGTAGGTCTGCAAAAAGTGTTTCTGGGTTGTTTGTCAGTCTTTTGATTTTGAGCAGGCAAAAATATGACTTTCACTGATTTTGTGAAAAAAAATAAAATAAATAAATAAATAAATATATATATATATATATATATATATATATATATATATATATCAAGTTTCAGTTTTGTCCAAAATGTCTCTTTGTGCTGTTCTTCAAAGGAAAAACTCTGAGAGGTATGAAATGGCCCTTTCTGTTCAAAATGTCTTAACCTCTCTTCTTTCTTGTAAGTTTTGTTCTCAGTTGTTATGTTGTTTATGTTCCTTGATGTCATCCCTTTCATTGTAAATGTCCTCCTCTGTAGAGGGTAATTAAGTGATGATCTTCTCTTGAACTTTCCTCAGATTCAGGTGTCAAAAAATAAATAAAAAATGTCCTAATTCATCAAAAACTTTGTCTAGATGTTGATTTATGTTAAATCTTCTACTTTTCTCTCATTTTGTGGTAAAATTATTCTTAATTTTTCATTTATCTGGAGCTCAACTGAAGTGTGACCATTTCTCATGGAATTCTCTCTCACACTCACATACAGACAGCACTTAAAATAATTCCAACGTTTACGTTAATCTGAATCAACACATGGACGTAAAACTTGAACTTTTTAAAAAAAATAATAATATTGTTCATTAATATTAATCTGAATCAGCAAATGTTGAAGTAAAGCGTGAAATGCTTGAACATTTGCACTTGAGGCGCTTTAATATGGAGATGAATCTGATTCGAAGATTCATTTAATCAAATCTGTTATTTAATGAAATGCCTTCATCAAAAACACACACTCACTCACTCTCTCTCTCTCTCTCTCTCTCTCTCTCTCTCTCTCACACACACACACACACACTCACACTGACACACACACAGGAAGTGATTACGCACCTGACATCTTTATCGATCTGCAGCAGAACCTCGTTGTCTTTGAAGTAGGTGTTCCAACGGCTGTCGGGATTCGGGTTCAGTGGCTGGAGACGAGAGACGAGAGCGTCACATACACCAGCAGTCACAGACACACACACATAGGGCTGGGTATCATAAACAAAATGTTCGATACTGATACGGATAACTTGACTTCGATACCGGTTCCTGAACGATACCTTTTTCGATACCAATATTATGTAACCAGTTTTATCAATATAATATTACCTACATTTTTATTTTATTTTTCAGTTATTGACTTTTTCAGACTCATATTTTGAGTATGTAAAAAAGCACCAATGCTAAAGTTTTCTATGTTTCCTAATCATTTAACAACATGTTTTCTTTACTTCAATGAGCTCATTTTTTCTGCCTTATCTTAATGCATTGTTTAACAATGAAACTGAATGAGAATTAATTGAAATGCATTACACTCGAACACGCTTCAAAATATTCAAATAAGATGAGAAGACTTCCGGTATGGCGACGAGCTGAGTGAACGCACGTTAATCAGCTCCTCTATCCTGTTGACTAATACCTTCTTAAAAATTGGTTTGGAAAGGGTACAAAACCTCCATTTTTATAGATAAACTAAGGGTAATGCCGTTGTCCCAGAAGAAAGTTGGTCAGGGGCGGAATAAAACCCTTCAAGCTAAATTATCCGACTTTACGAGAGCTAACGTTAACGTTAGCAAGAAAGCCACGGCTAACCTCGAAGCCATGGACTCCGATGAAGCTAGCTCGACTCCTGAGGAAAAATCGTTGGACAAAAGTAATGATACGGTGGAGGGAGGATCCGGACATATGGCACCAGGTTTTCCACCAGGTTTGATGGCATATTGTCCGCGATTGAAAGTGTCAGGAAATATATCAATGATACGCTGTGCAGAGCGTGTCACCGAGGCAGAAACAAGGATTGACAACGTCACCTCGCTCCAAACAAAAGTTTGTGTCCTAGAAAATAAAAACAAGGACATGGAGGAAAAACTTTTGGACCTGGAGATGAGATCAAGGTGCTCCAATTTGAGGCTGGTCAATTTGCCTGAGGGAGCGGAGGGGGACGACGCGTGTGCTTTTTTGGAGAGCTGGCTACCGGACACACTGGAACTGCCATTGGGCCGCACCAAACTAACAGTGGAGAGGGCTCATAGAATCAGACCAGGAACACACAATAACCCCGAACGCTGATAATGAAGTTTTTGGACTTCAGGGATAAAGAACTGGTGACGAAAGCAGTCTAGACAAAAAGAGAGGTGCGTTACAAGAACCATACAGTGAGATTTTACCAAGACGTGGCGGCAGGTGTTCACGAGAAGCAAAAGCAGTTTGACGAGGGGAGACGGCAGCTCCGTTTAATGGGTCTCCGATATGGCATTATCCCTCCTGCCCGACTGCTGGTGACTTATAAAGAACGGCCTCACATCTTTAACAACTATGTCGAGGCGGAGGACTTCATCAAACGGATCAGGTCAGAAGGGGGACCGGACTGATTTATGAGTAAACGACTTGGAATGTCGCGGTTTACAAAGTAGAAGGTATCAGAGGACATGAAATGAATGGCTTATGACTGAGCCGAATTAACACAAACTACAAGGTTAAATATCTTTGTGTAGTATGCTTAAGGCCTTTTCTCAGAGTTTATAGTTACTGTTAAGTTTTGTTTCTCTCCTTTCTCTGTGCACCTTAAGTCTAAGTGCTTTAAGTATTTGCTTTTTATTTAATTTTCTCCTCTTTATAAACAATATTAAGAGGTAAAATGTACCTCTTATTCAATTTTAAGGTAATTGCGATTATACTACACAATTTTTTTGGGTTTGGATTCTCTTACAACAATATGGTGCCTTCACAGAGTTAAATTTGATTTAGTTCATGGTAAAAGGAGGTTTATGAAAGAAATTTGTAATGTTTAATTATGGTAGCATGGAGCATAATATTAATGTTATTAGCTGTTTATCTTTTGTTAGCCCAGTGATACTGTCTTAACCTTAGGTTAACAGTTAACAGCTATCTGGAAGTCTTAAGATTATAAGGGGAGGGTTTCAGGCTAATTGTCCTGAATATAATATGGGTGTTGGGCTGAGTATAGTGTTCATCAGTAATATTATTTATTTAAGTTTTTTGTTTGGTTCATTTTTTCATTTTTACAAGCATCTTAAAGGTTTGGAGAGTACAACTATACAAACTATGCAAAATGTCTAGTGAGATAAAAATTAAAATTACATCATGGAACTGCAGGGGGTTACGAAAACCGGCAAAGGATAGGAGCTCTGGAGCTGTAGATTCTCACAGTCGTAGCAGGCTTACTATATATCACTTTATGAAAGAATTGAATCTAATAGTTATCTGGAGGGAAGAAAATCCTGATGATTTAAAGTTTTCGTGTTACTCTGGTACACACAAGTCCTCAAGAATTGATTTCTTCTTGATATCTGCAGAGTTAAAGCACAAATTCAAGAAATGTACTTATGATGCTAGCCTAATTTCAGATCATGCTCCTAATTCATTGATATATCAAGACTCAAAGCTAGTTAAAGATGCTAGGATTTGGCATTGCAAACAAAAGTGGCTGACTGACCCCGGCTTTGTCTCTTTTTTGGATGAACAAATCAGGTTCTATTTTGAAACTAATACAACAGAAACTTCAGCAAGTACAAACGAATATTCATGAAAATGAATATTATCAAACAAAGTCAACAGAATCTCATCAAAAGCTATTGCTACTTAGAGCACAATGTAACAAATTATCGGCATCAAGAGCGGTGGCCAGTCTGTTGCGACTTAAACAATCTTTCTACGATCAGGGTGAAAAACCTGGGAAAGTTCTTGCTTGGCGTCTTAAGCAGCTACAGAGCGAAAAAGTTATTATCTCACTGCTGAGTGATCAGAGAGAACCCATTGTAGATCCAACAGAGATTAATGAAACCATCAAGACATTTTATGAGGGTCTTTATAGTTCCGAAATGATTAATGACAATTCTGAACTTCTAGCATTTTTAAATAGTATAAATATCCCCAAGATACCAGAAATTCTTAAGGCAAATTTGGGAAAAGAAATTTCTTTAGCAATTGACAGCATTAAAGCAGGGAAAACTCCCGGACCTGATGGTCTCCCAATTGAAATCTATAAAAAATAAACTGTTAACTCCAATTTTTTAAATGTTTACAGAGTCCTTCGGAAATGGTACCTTGCCGTCATCGTTAAGAGGAGCATTAATTACTCTGCTTCCGAAGGCAGGTAAACTGACTAACAAATGTGAAAACTGGAAACTTTAGCAAAAAGAATCGAAGACATAATAACTACAATAATTGGCAAGGACCAGAACGGGTTTATTCGTGGCAGACGAGGCTTCCATAATGTCAGAAGGATCTTAAATATTCTTTATCATCAAGGAGGCCCCAGATACTGCTTTGCTGTCACTCGATGCTGAAAAAGCATGACAGAGTGGAATGGTCTTATTTGTTTGAGGTTTTTGGCTCGCTTTGGTTTGGGGGAGACAGTAGTAATAGGATGCACTTTATGTCAAAAAGATGATTGATTGACAGGTGACCCGCCCCTTCCCGCCCCTTCCCGCCCCTTTCTCACGCCCCTTTTGGCATAGGATGAAAGGGTTGAATCTAGAGCAAAGGAGATAAGAGGTGATAAAAAGTATCAAAATGAGATAAAAAGTATCAAAAATGAGATAAAAAGTATCAAAAATGAGATAAAAAGAGAGCCATCTGTGTTAGCGAGATAAGATCAAAAGGCATCAAATGGATTTGACAGTTAGTTTTATGACCTATTGACCGCCTAGCCTTGATAATGTCCTTTTTTAACATTTGTTTTTATTTGTAAAGATAAGATTAAATGGATCAAATTGAATTTGACAGTTAGTTTTATGACCTGTTGACCGCCTAGCTTTGATAATGTCCTTTTTTATTATTTGTTTTTATTTGTAAAGATAAGATTAAAGGGATCAAATTGGATTTGACAGTTAGTTTTTTAACCTATTGACCACCTAGCCTTGATAATGTTGAATTAAAGATAAAGTAGTTTAAAGTAAAAATAGTTTTACTAATAATGCTACATATCTCACAATAATTAAAGTTGAAAAGCATTCAGTTCATTTAAAAAAAATAAAAAAGATTGAGTGATTCTCTCTATCACGCAGGCAGATAGGTGCATTTATGTCTCTGTGTGAGTTACACAGATTTTTATGTTTAGTTAAAATAAACAAGACTATAATTCCTTTCAAAACAACAGGTAGTGTGTTTTGCTAATCATTTATTTTCCAATTATAATCTGTTGAACGCTATTTCATCTGTTGGGAGACAAGCATGAAATGCAGCTGATGGTTTGATGTACCTCGCAGTTCACGGTCAGGGTACAGATAAAGAACCAAAATTCAAAATACAATAAAATGTCCATACATTTAAAGTTAAAAAGATCCCAGATTGATCCCAGATTCACAGCCAGGTCACTATGTCGCACAGTCTTCTGCCTATGTGTGTGAGAAAGAGTTGATATCAATAAATTACTTTAGACCTCTCTGAATCCTGAAAACCTCAAAGTCAGACGGGGGCCCGGGCGCACTTATCTGTGTGTGTGTGTGTGTTACATGATACCCTCCGCATTCCTGAAGACACTGTGAAAGTGAGGACAATTTATATATATATATATATATATATATATATATATATATATATATATATTATAATTACTTTCACTATACATGCTACCACTAGGCTCAATTTTTAGGAATCACACAGTATCTTTTAATTTTAATGCAGACGACACTCAAATCTATCTCCCTTTGAAACATAATGACAAGCAAGGCCTAGAAACTTTGCTTGCCTGCTTATCTGACGTACGGTCCTGCATGTCCTTGAATTTTCTGCACTTGAATGAGAGTAAGACTGAAGCAATTGTTTTTTGGCCCCTCTGTTGGAAAAGCAAACCCCGAATACTGACTACGATTATTTAGACTCTAAACGAGAGCACACATTACTTTTTTTTTTTTTTACGATTTTATTATCTCTAAATTGGTTGCCAGTGTGTTATATAAATTTT